GTTTTTCCTTGAAGAAGCAACACCATCTAGAGCAGACATTTTTACACGTGAAAAAAACGGAAGCCACTATGCCCAGGGCCCCACATTTTATACCGCACCTTCTCGTTTAAACCATAACCACACACCCACAATATAATGTTATACTTACCAGCTCCTTCCATGATTTATTGATAATATCAAATATCCAAATATCAAAAGCACTGCCGCCAGTTCCACCTATAACAAGTAGGTGCGGTCCTGAGCTAGTATTAATCAATACACTGGAATGAAACCATCTTTCTTTAGGCCACTGTACTGATCCTCCAGGGTTAGATAATTTTGAATAATTCTAAAATAATAAAATAAATCTTAATTACCCACAAAATAAAACACACATTTAATAATTAATTTAGTTGTAATAATAATACACTTACCACTGATGTATCAGTAAAATTAAGAATATATACATTGTTACTCCTTCCATTAGAAGTGTTACCTCCAAATAATATAGCACTGGAATTGTTAATTGATGTTAAAGTGAAGGCACAAATAGGAGGAGGTGGTCTGTCTCCAGTGACAGTTGGTGATATCCATTGTCCTAAAAATATCAATAACTAGAAGAATGTAGAACATTAAAGGGGCGAGCCTAAGCAAGCTATAGATTGTGCTACATGATCAACATGTATGAGGAAGCAGAGCAATTGCACATGCAAGTCTATAGCTGTAAAAATTTTCTCTATCACTATCACTTAAGAATCTCTGCAGCATTGCAGCAATTTTAAAGATATCTTGCTTATAGTTAGAAGCAGTCATTGATTTAAAGATTGTACATCTGCTTTGTTAACCTAGGCTTGCTGCTAGAGAAGAAACATCACCTATAGAATAGATCTCATGATGCATGCAGCTAGCTACAGTACATGCAGCTTTCTCACTTGCATTCAGCTTATCAGAGTCCTTTATATCAAGAATAAAGATTCTATATCTGCTTTTCTAACCTTTCTTCTTGCTAGAGAAGTCTTTGAACAGCAGTTTAGTCTTATCTTGCTGACCGTTTGCTGCAAATAAGCTCAGACTTGCTGATAGCTGCCATTTTATTTCATTGTGACCACACCCGCTTTCAATGAAGATTAGGCTATTTAACATTAATAATAGTTAGACGGTCTGCCCGTACAAACTCTTTCTCGCCTTAGTGGGGCAAGCTCAGGCTCGCCCCAATAATAATTAGTGTGAATGGAATGCAATGGGTGGACCAAACTAGTTGATATTTCTTTGATCATGTTATCAAATAATTAGGAATGACAACCATGCAAGGAATTCTCAATGCAACCAGTCTGAGTGGAGAACCACCAAAATTAAACAATACTTCATTATATTAATATAAACTGTATGTGCTCTGACCTGTTGAAAGCTTATAGAAATGGATCTCATTAGTTTTAGGTTGCTTGGGTTTATTATTAGAAGATGGTCCAGTTCCTCCAATTACTACAAGATAGTCCTCACCGTTCACTTTTATTGCTATCATGTCACAGTAGGCCTTCATCATGGGGCCATGTCGAAATGTAGTAGGAGAGAGTTCTTTCCAATTAAAGGTATCAACATTAAAACTGTATAAATATATATAATATTTATCAGTAACTATCACGTTTACCTGTATAAACTATTATGAGAACAGCCATCATGACCACACAATCCTCCAAAATAAAATATTTCCCTTCCAATGGCAGCAGCTGCATAGCCCACAAAACCCAGTGGAGGGTTACCAGTGGTGGGTTTCTGCTCCCACCTACCAGTCTTTAGGTGACACACCTCCATCACAGAACACATTGATTTCTTCTCTTCATTATTATGTGCTTTAAACAAGAAGGTGCACTATAAAACCATTCACGCAACGTCATGAAATCGCTTCCGTCGATCACAGTATAAAACGAGGTGCCCAGGGCACAATATGGCGGCCAGATTGAATGAAATTTGAAAATAACAAAATGGCTCCCGCACTGGCACTGTTCTTATCATGGCTAAATCACTAGCAAAACGCATTATAAAAACATTAAAATTAACAAAGGTGAGAGAGTTAACCTACAAGCACACCTAGAAAGCATAGCAAGGAGAGAAATGGTATAATTGACTTGAAGTAATAATTTTACATTATTATCAAATATTATATTGTATATTCTGAAAAATCTGCCCTCAGCCTAAGAAACATGGTCAATGATGCTGTCAGGCAGGTAATAAGTGA